CGAAATCTAAAAACCATTTCATTCCAACATAACTATTCCCCACTGCTTTGTTTCTCAACCCAAATTACACCGCAGTAAACATTAATATAGAGTCTGGCTATTAACATCCTGGCCATCGTTGTATCATGTCTAGCCACATTAAGAGTACTAAATATATATAGATACGTAAATGAAGAAAATCACTGACGATTGATAGTAAGGAATTCTTAACTATACTGGTGTACCGTGGCCATAATCACACGTGGATCTAGATCCTGTACATATTTAATACAAGAACACGGCCTAATCTCACCCCCCAGCTCAGCCTTCTCCAGAGTTACTCTTTCACTTAGGCCCACTTTAATTATTTTTTCTAGGAGTTTTTATAAACTGTTTCCATGTATTGTCCTTCGCCTCCTTATCAAACAAGCACCAATCCCCAGGCCAATGAGAACAATCTAACAACCCCAATCCATATGGAAACATTCTTAATGAAAACAATATTATAGGACACTTTAAAAGAAAGGACTCCTTCAATAAAAATAGATCCTGTCTCTCTCCCAAAGTTAAAATAGGAAAATGCGTAATACATAAAAGAAGAATGATGTTGTCTTATGATAAAGATACTAAAAAGTGAAATTCCAAGGAGGAGGAAGTTATTATCGGGCCTATAATAACAAACTGCCAATAACTGGGTGGCCTTGACAACAGAGCCGAACAGAGCTTTAGAAGCAGGACCTGGGAGGGTAATAAAATTTCAAAAGCGGGGCCCCCAAAGGGTTTTTTTAAAAACCGTCCCACGAATGGCTTATCATATTACTTACAGCATCTGCCGATAAATTTAATATGAAACTTGTTAAAAAAGTTATAATATACCTGACACTCCAGTACTCCCGCAAATTTCTTAGGGCCTAAAGCAGTTCCCAAAGGAAAAAGAATAATAGAAATAAGGACATGAAAAAACTGCAATTAACAGGAAAAAAAATTCCCGCGAAGAATGAAGAGCGGACGCCCCCCTGCAGCAATGTAATACGATGGAACCGGAAAAGGAGATCGCACAAAGACACAAGCCGTTGTCCCATTCCTTGCCATATCTCATTCCTGGGAAAATGACAGTGGCTTGATATAAAGACTCATGGGAACAACCCAGTGAGGAGAAAAATAACTCCGGAACCAGAAACAGATAACTCTAGAAGTTACCTAAAAACCTGGAGAGACAGGATGAGATCTATACAAACATATGCCATAAAAAAAGATAATAATTGTGATCCTCCTATTTTATTTACTCTTCATATTATCCTTTTAAAATGCTGGTGCAGGCCAATGATAACTAGGACTACAACCATTATACCTAATCACTTTTCAAAAACATGCACTGTAGGACGAGCACAGCAGCTCACACCTCTAATCCTACCACTTTGGGAGGCCAAGGTAGGAGGATCACTTGAGCCCAGGAGTTGGAGACCAGCCTGAGTAACATAGCAAGACCCCTGCCTCTACAAAAAATAGAAAAATTGGCTGAGTGTGGTGGCACATGCCTGTAATTCTGGCTACTTGGGAGGCTGAGGTAAGAGGATTGCTTGTGCCCAAGAGTATGAGGTTGCAGTGAGCTATGATGACGCCACTGCACTCTAGCCCAAGCAACAGAGCAAGACCCTGTCTCAAAAAAACCCCTCCCCTCCCTGCAAAAAAATGAAACCATGCACTGTATTTAATCAATGCCAAACCACTTTTTGTCATATTTTAGTATCCCTGACACTGGGATGTCTCACACTGGGTAATGTCACACAGTAGCTGGGATGGGCTTTTTCCCCCTTCACATGCATAGTGGCCACAGTGTTCCTATGGTCCTCACTTCAAATGAGGCACAGGCACTGTTGGTTCTATTCTGGCCGTGTCTGACTGCTATTCAAAATGTCTCCAGAAAGAGTTCATGATGATTCTTTTCATTCAAGTAAAAAGTTATCATGTCCGGACAAAGACAAAGGAAGAGAGCAGCAAGGTATAATTCTATATCCGTGAATCAAACATACATCACTGGAGGAATGACCACAATTCCTTATGTTCTTGCAAGGCAACCATCAAATGTTTTATGAAACGAAAGAAAGGAAGAGATCCCTACCAGTAGGTGAAGCTATAAAAAGGACTGAATCTGAAAAGGACTGCCTGACACATGCGCAGCAATGCAACTCAGGCAGGAGACCTGACCCCTCAGAACAGAAGATAAAAGTTTCAAGGCTACAAGCATCCTGGTACTAGGACATTCCTTCTGTCTCTAGCAGGTGCTTAAATTCCAGTGACAAATTCAAGAGAAACAGAAAGCACAAGTTGTCAAATACGAAAGTGTCACCATCAAAACAGGAAAAGTAACAGCATCAGAATAGGATCATTAAGTGACAAGAAGGCATCATGCCATAGTATAATTAGCAGTGCTTTCTTCTTTTTTGGTGACTTAAAAAATAATATAAGCCTTGTGACAGCATCTTAGATTCAGTGAAATATGGTATATCTATCCCCTGCTTTAAGAAGCTCTAACACATGAAAACAAAAGGCATACAACAAGTTTACTGTTAAAAGACAATACAATAAAAATTTCTTTTTAACAGTAAACTTCCATATAGTATTTAATTTTATGTAGCTTTTTAAAATTTTTCCTTCGAATAAAGGACAGAATTTTAGTATGTTTGGAGTCATCACTATTGGCTCAACATCAGAAACAAAAAACCACTTCCCTAGTTTGCTGAACCATAAACATCATAAGAGAGGGCTCAATTTTGATTTCTTTTCAACAATGAAACCGAAAATGGGGATTTTTCCAGTATTAATAGAAGGCAACCTGGTCCTGAGGCAGAAGCCTATGCTAATGGCAATGACTAGCATGGAGCTGCCAGCCCAACCTTGCAGCCAGTATGAGGATGCTCCAGCCTTCACTCTTCAGGCCCACGGGGCACCCTTAAGAGGTTCTGTTGCCATTTATGCCTTGAGACAGTGGCACACAACATATCTGTGTCCTGAGCGGAAACATCCCCGAAAAGCACAAGATGTGGACATCAGCCCATACAGGTCTACAGTGACTGTTCTATTTCTTCCAAAACAATAGGTTTCTCTAGCAGGCTATTAATAGTTGTTAACTGGACCACATTCTCCTGCATACACAATTCTCACCCTCTCACTCTTCTCTGCCAGGACCTCAGAATCTTTCAGCATCAAGACATTTGCTGATTTCTCTCTTTTTTTTTTTTTTTTTTGAGACAGAGTCTCGCTTTCTTGCCTAGGCTGTGCGTGTGGGAGTGCAGCTGCCATGGCGTCGCCCTAAGCTTCACAGCAACTCAAACTCCTGGCTCAAGCAATCCTCCTGCCTCAGCCTCGCCGGTAGCTGGGGACTCAGGCGCGAGCCGCACCGGATGCCCGGCTGATTTCTTATATGTATAGTATATTAGCTGGCCAATTATTCTCTTTCTATGTTTATTGGTAGCAGACGGGTCTCGCTCAGGCTGGTTTTTGAACTCCTGACCGTTGAGCGATGACGCCCGCCCTCGGCCTCCCAGAGTGCTAGGATTTACAGGCGTGAGCCACCGCCGCCGGCCCTGATTTCTCTCTTATCCTTTCCTCTTTCCTTAGCTGAGAGGTAATACTCAGGTAAAATTTATAGTCTAGGTTATATTATTTCTTCTGATTTATTGAGGGTTTTGGTTTCCTGTGTGTAACTTTGAAGAAAAGAGCAGAATATTTGACATTTTTCTCTTTCAAAAATACTTAAATAGGCCAGGCGCGGTGGCTCACGCCTGTAATCCTAGCACTCTGGGAAGCCGAGGCGGGTGGATTGCTCAAGGTAGGAGTTCGAACCAGCAGAGCAAGAGTAAGATCCCGTCTCTACTATAAATAGAAAGAAATTAATTGGCCAACTAAATATATAGAAAAATTAGCCAGGCATGGTGCACATGCTATAGTCCCAGCCTACTCAGGAGGCTGAGGCAGAAGGATGTGCTTGAGCCCAGGAGTTTTGAGGTTGCTGTGAGCTAGGCTGAGCCACGGCACTCACTCTAGCCTGGGCAACAAAGTGAGACTCTGTCTCAAAAAAAAACCAAATGCTTAAATATATTTTCCCTCTGAGGGCCTATAGTAATTGCTGAGGATGGAGAAGGTCTGTACTCTTACCAGAAGAAAATTCCTCTGACACTTATAAACTGACATCTTTTAAATATAGTACTATGAAAAGAAGTTCTCTGGAATGTAGAGAAAACTAATAATTTCATAGAGAAAAGAGAGTTATGTCTGCGCTTTGCCACTTGTAGTGGCGTTATC